TTTACTTAGTGCATCACCCAAAATTAATTTCTTGCTTCGTAGGAACATTGGGAGTGATGCTCTGATTTGGGCGCAAAACTCAATGGTAAAATCGCCCTCAAATGATAAGAGTTCTGCCCAAACCCCAAAGCATCTCCCCTCCCCATGTCATCAACATGCCTACGTCACTTCCGGGAGATGTAGGTAAATGGCTCCATGTTTTTTTTGGGGGGGGGGATTTTTCTCCACTGGCCAGCTGGTCACAAATCTGTGGTATCCCCCGCCCCCAACTGCGGACTGGCTACCCTATTCTCTACAGTCCCCAAAACAGGTATAAATTCTGTAGTATAATCACAGAGATTATAGCAACCAAATTAATATGCATACTTCTACAATAAATAAATAAAGCTGTGGTGGCTCAGGTGGTTAAGACGCTGAACTGCAGGCTGTGGAAGGTCGGTAGTTCAGCAGTTCGAACCCCGGGTGCCGCATGACAGAGTGAGCTCCCGTCTCTAGTTCCAGCTCCTGCCAACCTAGCAGTTTGAAAGCAAGAAATTGCAAGTAGATAAATAGGTACACTTCAGTGGGAAGGTAACAGCGTTCCGTGCGCCTTAGTCATGCCTGCCACATGCCCATGCAAACGTCTTTGGACAGCGCTGGCTCTTCGGCTTTGAAACGGAGATTAGCACCGCAGCCCTAGAGTCAGATTCGACTGGCTTTCGAGCAAGGGAACCTTTACCTTTACCTTACAATAAATATGCAAATTAGAATTATTTAAATCAGTCCCCCCTGATGAAATCAGTTCACATTTTAATCAACAGTGGGTGTCCTGCAGCCAATCGACTGATGAGAAGGATTCCAGAGTAAAACAGACTATACATTGTAATCAGCACTAGGGATGTGCATTCAGGTAAAACTGAGCTGAAAATATACCCGAAAAATACCATATCTGGATGGATGGATGGATGGATGGATGGATGGATGGATGGATGGATGGATGGATAGATGGATGGATGGATGGATGGATGGATGGATGGATGGATGGATGGATGGATGGATGGATGGATGGATGGATGGATGGATGGATGGATGGATGGATGTAGATAGATAGATAGATAGATAGATATTTGGTATCCCAAATATATTCAGGAATTTTTTAGGGATACTGAAAAAATTGTCCTCAAAAGTTTCAGAAATAGTTGGGATTAACTGGAAAGATTCGGGAGCCAGTGTTTGCAGGCTCCCAGGACTGTATTTTCTTTCTTTTTTCTCCTTTTTCCCCTTCATTTCTGTGTCTCCCGGGGGGGGGGGGGTATGTCTTGCCAGGCTGCTTCTGTCAGTTTCAGGTCTGTTTGTCAGTGTCAAGAGGGTTTTTTCCTTTGCTTATTTATTTGTTTGTTTGTTTTGTACCCCACCCTCCCCGCAGAAGCAGGCTCATGGCGGCTTACAAGAATAACACAAACAATTATAAGAAAGATAAAACCATCTAAAAACAGTTTAAAACATAAAGTGCTAGCTCATACATTAGGGATGGCGGCAACGGTTACTTTATTCTTCGGTTCTCGATCTTTGCTGTTTATAGACAACTGGCACAGGCTGTGATGGTGGAGTTGGGCGTCTCCTTAATAGTGATGTAGATAATGGTGGTGGTGGTGGCGGCGGCGGCTCCCTAATCAAAGGTCTGGTGGGAGAGCTCCATCTTGCAGGCCCTGTGGACCTGTAACAGGTCCTGCAGGGCACTGATCTCTTCTGGGAGCTCGTTCCACCAGTACGAAGCCACCACCGAAAAGGCCCTGGACCTGGTTGTTACCAATCTGATGTCTTTAGGGCCTGGGTGGGTCAATCGATGTTGTGACCCTGAACACTGTGCTCGCTGGGGTACACATGGGGAAAGGTGGTCACTCAGGTATGTCGGTCCCTGGCCATAAAGGTAAGAATCAGCACCTTAAAGCAAACTCGGAAGGCTATCGGCAGCCAGTGTAATGCCTTGAGCACAGGCTGGATGTGCTCCTGCATAGGGAGGCCCATCAGGAGCCTAGCCGCTGCATTTTGCACTAGCTGGAGCTTCCAGATTTGTGACAAGGGCAGTCCCATGTAGAAGAGCATTGCAGTAGTCCAATCTTGAGGTGACCATTGCATGGATCACTGTTGCCAAGTCGTTGTGGTCAAGGAAGGGAACCAGCTGCCTAAAAGCTGCTGTTTTGCTTGGATTTGTTCTGTGATTTTCTGGTTTGACATTAGTCCTGGTGAGCTTGCACTTGCTCAGTGACACTGGATTTTGCTGGGCTTGAAAAAGTAGCCTACCACCTTGAGTTTCAGCTTCAGAGATTCTCTGGTTTGGCATTGGTCCTATTGGGCTTGCACTGCTACAGTGGCACTGGGTTTTGCTGGAATTACTGGGTTACGCAGTGGTTCTCTTGGGCTTGTTGATGGTTCTTCCATGGTAGGAATTTGGCCAGTGATTTGCTGCTTGCAGACATGGCTTTTGCCCTGGAAGGGGCTTGGGGGGTCCCCTCCTCTCCATAGAAAATAATGGAGGACAGCTTGGGGCACCCTGTTCAGGGACCCATCACATCAGACCCCTTGATCCAATGTGCTTGAAATTTAGGGATTGTTTAAAGGACAGGCATCAGCAGCTCTATGGCAATTTTGGTGGTTGTACCTTTAAAAATAACACACACACCCAGCCCCCCGGAAAGCTTCCTCAAAGGGAATAATGAACTCGAAAAATTCAGACACCCCCCCCCCCAAAAAAAATAACAAATCTGAATAATCCATTATACCTAAATCAAAAAACATTGTTGATTTATTTTGTATACCCCTAATCAGCACACAGTGATGTCCACACACACATGCCTGTGAGAGCACCAAGAGAGCTTACTAATATGTATGTATGTTTACACCAGGGGAAAATGGCTTTCTGAAAATAAGTATGAGTAAAAATCAGTCTCAGTTTGCTGGCCAAGTGAAGATAAAAAGCCTGTCTTCACTGTTGCAATCACCAAGAAAAAAATTACATTTTGTAGTGTTCCCTAGCTCTGTGTACGGTTGATAATCTGAGCTAAATTTGAGTCCAGCCGTGTTGGGGGCGGGGTTGAACATCTGAGCTGTTGGCTCCCACTTCTGCCAAAATAATGGGGAGGGAATGTTGTGTTCTAGGTACTGTGTACTGTGTACATAGGGCTTGTCTCCCTGATTTGTTCATTCAGCAAGTAGCACAAAACCCCAAGTGAAAACAAGGAGGATATCCATTCGGCAGTGGCTTTCTGAAGTGTCCCAGCTTCCTTTATGTGTGCTGACTGCACAAATGTCACAGATATACAAACCTGAGGATATCCTTGAGATAGATGACAGACAGACAGACAGACAGACAGACAGACAGACTGATTGATTGATCCAGGTGTGGTTCCATGTTTGCACCAGAATGTATGCAACACTTGCTTCACTGGGCTAGAACCTTTCTCCCCACTATGTTAGCTTCTTTCGTTTGGTGTTGACATTGTGTAGAATTAAAAAAAAAAACACCAGCATCTCTCTGCTTGAGATCCTGGAGCCACTGCTAGTCAAAGAAGAGAGCACTGACCTAGGCAGACCAATCATCTGACTTGGTACAGGGCAGCTTCTTACGTTCACAGCTGCAGAGTGAATCTAATACTCTGTAATTAGTCTTTCTGAGAACATTATTTGTAATGGATTATCCTCACCCCTTGATGATTCTAAACTCTACAGAGAAAACTACGATTTCCTTTCTCAGAGCAACAGTAAGTGTTCCCTCTAAGCAGGGCCCGCTCGCCCGCTAGGTGAACTAGGCCTTCACCTAGAGCGCGAGCCGGCCGTTAGGGCGCTGGGGGAGAGGCAGGGGCGGCCGCTGGCGCACCTGGCCAGCAGTTGGGAGGAGCACCGGGGCTGGGAGGAGCTCTGCCGGTTGCAGGAGGAGGACGTGCGGCGGCGTGGGCAGGGTGCGGCGCTGTAGCTGGCTAGTGGAGGTGGAGGCAGGGGTGGCCACTGACGTGCCTGGTCAGCATGGGCAGAGTGCGGCGCTGTAGCTGGCCGGCGACCGCCCCTGCCTCCACCTCCGCCCCCTTGCTTGCTCCTCCACCGGCGAGCTGAGGGCTGCTAAGGGCCCTCCGCATGGCCGCGCTTTCGAAGGGGGGCAACAGGGGGGCAGTCGGGTCTCCCGCGGACTCCCTTACCCGGTCCCAGCCGCAGCCTGACGAAGCGTGCCGCCTTCTAGCCCTGGCAGACCGTCGGGGGGAGGGGGGGTAGTCCGGGGCTGAGCTCAGACAGCTTTCTGCCACAAGCTGCATTCTGTAAGATATATATAGTCTAGACCCCATAAGATCTGTTGAAATCAATTTCTTGTTATGAAGCTGCATTATTTCCATTTCAGCATATTACATTCTGATGCCCGTCGACATGTTTCATAGGCTTCCGTTGACTCAGTGCTGGATGCTGAGGGAATGATGTGATTGCTACTACTCTTACCTTAAGAATGGGTCATTAATCTTCCCTGATAACAAATAGACCAGTCCCAATATTGCTGCTTTTACAATGCATTTTGGACATTCCTCAGAAACAGATTCCCCAAGGAGACAGCCTCACTGCAAAGATGCAGACACTAGACTTTAAGTATGTGGAGGGGAGTGCTGTATAACATCAGATGAATGTGTACGTATTCATGTACATGACTGTTTGGTAATTGCTCGGACATAGTGGCTGGAGTATTAGTTTTGGATGTATGGAGTCTACATTCAAAGCACCACAGTTGTGAAGCTTATTAGGAGGTTTTGGGGATGAGTGTCCATTTCAGCCCAGCCAACTGAACACTGTTGTATACCAAGAACATACTGAAGTGGCTTCCATAACACTGGTAGTGAGTGTGAACTGGGCCTTCCTCTTTCGTCCAAGGCTGTCCCAAATTACTGTCTTGCACGAGTGAGTCATCTGTTGTAGGGGGTCTGTCAGTGGTCAACATTACAGAAGACTGGAAAAGTATAAATTGTGATTTCCTTTAATTTCAGGTCACCATTGGACAGCTCTATTCAGCACCGAAGCTTGTGATTGAGTGACCAGGAAAACTTTGACCCAAAGGTTCCATTCTCCTGTAGCAGTGCTGGACCAGCCTCAGTATTCTGCAATACGCACAGATTTTTATTTAAACATATTATGTTCTCGATGCATGTTTGAGCTGCCTTGCCTAACTAAAACTCTGAACTCATTGCTGAATCTTAACCTCAGGGGTCTAGAATTTCTTTTAATTGTTCATGTGCCCTCAATAGACCACCAAGACGAATGTGTATAAATTATGTTCATAAGAATCACTGCTTGCTGTTGTCTTCGTACACACTCACATTGTTGGCTTTCTCAACAATAAAATCCCACAGTCCAAGTCTATCATCTTGCTTGCTTGCTTCTGAAATGGTTCTATAAACAGCCTAAGGTACACAGTGTAGACAGTGAAAGCTCCAAAACCATTTAAAATTGTGTATAAACAATAAAACTAAGGTTAGAAGTATTCAGCAGACTTGCCAGAGTGCCAGTCCCATTGAACTTGAGAACAAGATGTAATTTACTTTCATTGCTAGTAATCAGTTGTATGAAATTTCAGGAGCGAATCCCTACGAACTGAGGGCAAATCTTTCCAGCCTCCCTTCCCCCAACAGGTCTTTATGGACCCCTACACACACACACACACCCCCCAGAAAGTTGAATCCTGGGGCCAAGAGAGCCTCATCAGAAAATCCCATGAGAGGCAAAATTGTCCCCACCTCCTTCTTGCATTATTGGGAGGTCTGCTGGTCAAACAGAAGATAGGGGGTCAATTCCATCTCTCCTTACAGTACCTCCCAACCTTCATATTCTGTTCTTGAAAGGGACTTTATGCTATTCTGTTAATATTTCAAAAACTTGTTCACTGCAGACTCAGAACCATTTCAGGCACCACAAGCCTCCAGATGCAGGCAGTGACCACCAGCTGAGATAAGTCTGAAAGGTTCCCAGCCCTGGAACATCCTCTCTAGTCTTGTCTTCCGTTGCGAGGAGACAACCATTGCTGCTACCATCCACTGCATCTTTGCTTCTTAAAATAAGGACTAGGCTGTTTCCCTTCCTTGTTTTCTTGAGCATGGGATGCGGCTGTCTTTTTTCAGGGGGGTATTTTTGCATTTGTATGTGTGGAAGCCATGGCAACCTCTGGCAACTCCTACTGGGGCATGGAGGATGTCTTAAACCAAAGCTTCAATTCCAGTAAACCATGTTTTTTGCAATTAGCCATTGGACCCTGCATTAACATCCAAGAGCCATTCTGCATTTGAAAGAGGTCCGTTATTTCCATGTTATTTTGGTTCTTTAAGATAAGTGATGTTTTCTTTAACAGTTAAGCAGCTTTCAGATCTCCTTCGAGTGTTCCCATTATTCTTTTCCCCATACATTCCTAAGGGAAGCATTGCTCTTCAGTTTTCACAATCCTCAGTACTTTAAAAACAGAAAACAAGAATGGCTTTCAATCTTTCTTCCCCCCTCCCCCTTTTAGTGGTATTAAGAGACAACAGATTCCCTCTTACACAAATGGTGCCGTACATGCACACACATGGAGAGTTGAAATCTCTGGACACTATTATGCTTAAACTGTTGAGTGGCAAGTTTTCCTGTACCAACAACAGCATATGCTATGTTGAGTATGTATGGAAAAATTCTTTAAGCTCAACTGGACAACTTGTTCAGTACTGAGGACGATACAAGAAATACGAACTGGAAGTCCACGACATGTACAGATGCAAACCATTAAAACACATGCAGCTAAGTCAGCAAAATGTAGGTGTAATGCTGCAGTCACGTGCATTAGGGGAGTAAATTTCATTGGACTCTGTGATGAGTAAATTGCCTAAGACTGCACTCAAAGAGTTATGAAGCTAGTTAGTGATGGGTGAAACCTATTTCACTATATCTTTTTTCAGAAACTGTTAACCTTTGACTTAGTGAAGTTATAAGCTATGAGCAGGCCCATGGGACTAGTAATGCAGCGTATAAATTTTAGAACTTGTAAATACCACTCTGGGCTGTTTCTTCATTTCAGGTCATCTCGCGTGAGGGCAGGGAGAGGTTGCCTTATGCCCCCCCCCCTCTATTGAGCATTCGCAGCACCATAAGGGAGCAGAGTGGCATGTATGGCCATAAGCTTCACACACACACACGATTCCTTGCTGGGCAGTGTGCCCCTCTCCAAGCTGCCAGGCAGTGTCGGCATGCTCACCACAGGACAGAGCCAGTGAATCTGTTTGCTCTTGTTTCCTCCTGTCTTAGGTTACCCACCAGCAGTGGGTGCATTGCATTTCATTCTAAAATGTATTTTGCTTCAAATCGTTCACAGGAAAGACTTAAGAGTGTCTCTTCCCCACTGCCATTCAGCAACTGTTAAAGTACCGGAATTCTCTTGTTTTGCACTACCAAGGACCACTCAGGTTTGCACCAACAGCTCCTTCTGCACTCTCCCTCTGGCCTTGTCCTCAAGGGGCAGAGACAAGAAGAGACGCCCACCCACGCCCACCATCTCTCCTTATAGCTGTGTCATGAAATTCTTGTAAGCTGCTGCGTTGGGAGCTCTTCGTGGCTGAAGTAATAAAGATACGTTTGCTTAGTAAGGAAAAGGCCATTTCCCCACTGAAAGAGTTTTTTAAAAAAATCAGTTCCTTTAAGCATGTTCCTGATCCCGGCAACCTTCTTATCAAGTTGAAAAATTGTGCTGGAGCACCACACGCTTAAATTGGACTGTTTTCTGTTTCAAAGGTCAAAGAGCTGCGGTACGCAATCCAAAAAAATATTCTGAAACCAGCCAAAACATGAGTAGCACACCAGCAAAAGTATCCCTTACCCCATAATGTCACCTTATTAGATGTAAAAAAAAAAGATAATTTTTGCCTTCACTGCAAGAGGTACTTGATTTCAATAATTCAAGAGGTCTATACAGGCCAGTTTGTTGTAGTGGTTAGGAGCGTGGACTCTAATTTGAGTGAACCGGGTTTGATTCCCCACTTCTCCACATGCAGCTGCTGCTGCCTTGGGTCAGTTACAAGTTCTTACAGAGCTCTCAAAAGAGCTCTCTCAGCCCCACCTACCTCACAGGGTGTCTGTTGTGTGGAGGGGAAGGGAAAGGAGATTGTAAGCCGCCCTGAGACTTCTTTGGGTAGCAAAGGGCGAGATATAAATCCGATCTCTTTTTAAATATAACGGATATGCAGCCTCATAGCTAAGAAGTAATCTATGGAGGAGCAAAGACCGAGAGCAGGGAGCTTAATCAGATTACCACTTCTTAGATTATAGACTATGTAATCTGGAGAGATCCCCCCCATCTCAAAAATAAAAGAAATAGGGACCCACTGACCCTTCTCAGAGTGGGGCATCCTCCCCCCACATTCCAAGCAAGTGTCTCATTTTATAGGTCGGGGATTTCTCCTGTCCAGAGCCCCTTCCTGCCTGCCTCCCATCAATCAATCAAGAGTTTATTGCTCCTAATACTCCTGCCTCCCATCTGGGTGTGGGGTTGCTGAGGAGCCCCCCCCCCTTGCTGCTTGTTGCGCCTTTCAGGCCTGTGTGGCTCTGGCTGAGGTGGCAGGGCGGGGCCATATGGCTGCAGGGCTCGCCGGGACTGGGAGTCAGAGCTGGGCATGCTGATTGGCTATTTTTGGGTGGTGGTGGTGGAGGAGTGACAAGGGGGAAGGCAGGAGGGTGGGTGGGTGAGTGGGTGGGCGGGCGACGGAGGTTGCTGTCTTCTGCCACAGCGCAGCTCTGGTGGGTTTCAGAGGAGGCTCCTCCTACCAAAATTCAAAAGGTCAGGGAAGATTTGAGGTCAAGACAGATTTGGGAAGGGGCATCGCCCCAAGGGCCCCACGGTAGCTACGGGCCTGCAGGTATGGCCCACGGGCTATACCTACCATTGCTAGTTCAGGGAGTCTTACCAGCAGCACTGTGACTCACACAAAGCCTAAAGGAATGTCTGTGTTTGGAAGCATTCCGGAAATTCACAAGACCTCCTAGTTTTGTTTCTAGTGTGAAACGGCAAAGCCAGGGCATTATCCAGCAAGTGGCAGGCAGCATTTGGTGACTTGTAGGCTGTGCTCAGCTCAGACTTTAAAATACTCAACTTTCTCCACTAAAGCACATCAAGCCAAATTATGAAAAAAATTGTCTACTACAAAGCAAGTGTCAGAGAATCTCTTTTTAACATTCAGTGTTGCAGCTCCCATGTAGGCCTGTACCGTGAAATGTGGAGGAGTTAAGAACTGTTCCTTATACCAGCCAGAACAGTTTGTGTATTTGCAGTCACAGCTGCCCAGAGCCCAGTGATTTCTTCTGTGCCCCAATACAGCCCAAGACCCAACTCAACCATCAAGTCATTGTTCAGGATTTCTTGGTATCATTAAAGCCTCAAATAGCCATTCATCACCTTTCCCACACTTACTGGGGCAGATTCTGAACACACATGAAATGCCTTATACTGAATTAAACCATTGGTCCATCAAGGTCAGTACTTTTCTACTCAGACTGGCAGCGGCTCTCCAGGGTCTCAGGTTGAGTTCTTTGACATCGCCTGGTCCTTTTAACTGGAGATGCCAAGGACTGAACCTGGGACCTTCTACATGCCAAGCAGAGACTCTTCCACTGAGCCACAGCCCCTCCCCTTGTCCTGTTTTGAGCCAAAAGACCCCCAACATCTAATCCAGAGCCAAGACTTCAAAGACTACTTCTGTAAATAACAGAGGAGGATCTGAAAACTTGGTCGTTCTTAAGACAGCATTCCTCTTCCCCCCCCCCCACCCCAGTATCTAGAGACCAAGAACAGACACGAGTAGCATGAAAAACTATACTGGAAATACACCACAAGAGCAGAATGACCCTAACTAATGTCTGTATGAAACTGTTTTGCACACTGTCCCAAAGGTGGGAGATGCCAGCTGACAATTAGTGGATTATACTTACTCTACAGTACTGAAGAATAAATTATTACTGTCATCAAACTGCTACTATCAAAACCGAAAAACAGGATCATAGAACATAAGCTGCCTCCAGCAAGGCTCTAAAGAGGTGGCACAGAAATACTCTTAAAAAAGTAAACAACCCGATCTACTGGTTTCCCTTTGTTCCTAATTTAGTCATGTTTTCTGTATCATCTCCGCAACTGTGGAACCGCATTTAAAAACATCCTCAGGGATCCAAGAGGCCCTGGTCCAAGTCAAGGGGCCCCTGTGAATCTGCCAGCGCCCCAGGGACCACTCCGTTCAGCCTTTCCCCAGGGCTGTTTTAACATCCCCGGTCACCCACCCACCCCCATCTCAGGAGAATGCACAGCAGTTGGGGGACATGTTGGAAAAGCTAGCTAACCTCTTCATAAGTGCAGACATGATCCCAAGCCCTTGTACTAACAGGAAAACTCCATATTATGTGCAGTTCGATTATTCTTTCAAGGCATTTCTTAAAAATTCTATGATGTGGTTGCAGGGGCTGATGTAAAGGAGCACGCTCTTGGCACTTTCCCAGCTGAATATCATCACTCCACCGCTACTTCCATTCCTCCTTAAGCCAGAAAAGGGATATGGATGGACCCCTCTAGAAAGGTTCTTCTGTGGATCACAGCTCCAGCAATAGCGCTGAATAGTTTTAAAGAATTAACCCAAAAGAAATCACAGAACATACAACAGGTGTTCATACTTTTAAGTACTGGCAGTATCACCATGTTCTCATAGTAAGATGCCTGTACTAGGAAAAAGCCCCGTTGTGGAAATAAATATAACGGTCTCTAGAAAGAGGCTCTGGGCGGGTGCCCCGTCCTTAGACACTTAGTGTCAATTTGCTGTGGCGACCTCAGCAGGGTATAATGACACTCAGTCCACCATTTTCTCCAGAGGAACTGATGTCTGCTACCTAAAGAACAGTTGTAATTTTGAGTGATCTCCAGCCCTCACCTGGAGATTGGCAACAATGGTTCCCCAGAAGGGAATAGTTGGTTTGGAGGGTGGAGTCTATGGCTTTGTACCTGTCCGAGGTCCCACGCCTCCTGAAACCTCACCCTCTCCAGGCTCCATCCCTCACATATTCAAGAATTTCCCACCTGGAGTTGGAAACCCTATCTCCTTCCCAGCCAATCATCAGCCTACCTTTATTTTCCCCTCATTCTTCAGCTTTCCACCCCCCACGCACCTGCAGCTTCTCCCGTGCTCTGAAGCCCTGACTGCTACATCACATTGGCTTTCATACTGGGGGCACATCAGCAGCATATAAGGATACAGAGCCCACCATTTTCTCCAGGGGAACTTGATCTCTGCCATGTGGAAAGCAGTTGTAATTCTGAGTGATCTCTAGCCCTCACCTGGAGATTGGACACATTTTACCTCAGAACAGCAAACGTGTTTAGAATGTTAGAGGCAAAAGCCAATCAAGTCGCATATGCAAATGACCTCTGTTCAGAGGCAAAAGCCAATGAGGCTGCATATGCAAATAACCTCTGTGTTCTGACTGGCTATGGGGGGGGGAGAGGAACAGCAAACTGTTTAGAATGTTGGAGGCAAGACTCAAGCAATGCAGCCAGTGGATAGGGACAGATTCTGAGTGGCACACCAGGGCACCAACCAATTCTAGAGCGTGTGGAATGTTCTAGAGAAGTGCCACCACCATTCGGCTTTTATATATAAGGGAGATTAAGCACAGTACCTTGCGCAAAATGACATGCCACACCAGTGTTCCCCTCCCTGGGTAGGCTTGGGGGGAGGGGAGCAGAGAAAGAAAGCAACTTTAATTTTGAATGCATTCTCAAAGGCCCCCCCAACCAGCTTGGAGAAGGCATTTGTCTCTGAATCCCTTCTCCAAGCCAAGCTAGCTGGGGGGGGGGGCTTAGAGGATGAATTTAAAGTTAAAGTTGCTTTCCTTCCACTTCTCCCTCCCCCATCTATTTCCTTCCTTCCTTCCTCCCCTCCCTCCCCATCTAAAGTTATCAATATGATGTTAATAAAAAGCCAATTTGCATAGTTTTCATTAAAAACATCTGTGTAATATTTGTTCATGTCTTACGGCTCTAAAACATCTGACGTTTATTCTATGTGGCTCTTGAGTGAAGCAAGGTTGGCCACCCCTGGTTTAGGGGTGGCCGGATTTCCAGGAAATAACTGATATGGCTCTATACATCTGTGCTTTCTCCCACATTTAAGAAAGTAATTGGGTTCTTTATAGGGAAGTTTCATAGCTTTAAAGCATATAGACATAGGCACATACATGTGGCCAATAAGTTATTTCAAGACTTCTTATTTTTTCCTTCATTTATACCTCAACTTCCCCCCCCCCCAATATGGACCCAGAGCAGCTTACATGTTTCTCACAACAGTGTGACCAGCCCAAAGTCACCCAGCAAGCTTCCATGTCAGAGTCGGGATTCGAACCTGGTTCTCCCAAAATCACTCTGACACTCTCACCACTATACCATACTAGCTCTGACCATTCTGACCAGTTATAGCCCTTTCCAGAGTTAAGGCTGAGGTTTTAAGCTAGAAGTAGTACTGCATATTAAGAGTAATCTATTACAGTAGGCTTTTTTTCTTCTTCAAATATATACGGCCGAGAAGGCTTCTAGTGTTTTCAGATTTTGGTACAAAATAACAAAGCTAAAGTCAAAACCAAACAGAACTAAATGTAGGATGACATTGGGCAGTAATGTAAACTATATATCATGAGAAGTTCCTTCATAAGAACCTTCGGCTTTTAAGGTTTAGAAGCCACTGATCAAATGGCCTTAAACACTATGCTTGATCTTAAAGCCAAAGAACTATTACTAGAAGAAACTTTATTCCGATAGTTCAGCCAGTTTTGACAAAAGGAACTGGTTTTAACATTTAAGCTCACATTCTCTACCTTAGTCTCCAAATCTGCTATAAAATGGTCTCGAACTTTAAAGTTTCCAGCCCTGTGGGAAAAGGCAAAACAAAAAACCAGCCAAGTTTCTTAGTCTCCTTTACAAGAGATATTTGTGTTTGCCAGCCCAATAAAGTCTTTTAAGAGCTGTGAGGCCTGAAATCCCCAGGATGATCTTTGTTTGCGCAGCCTTCATCGGACACATGAAATCAAGCTGGAGACCAAAAAAAAAAAGTGATGCAGTTAGAAGTACCAGACAGACAGCCTCATTAACTTGCAATGCAAGGCATTTTATTCATCAAGGTTTACAAGGCAATTCCCACAGTGCATCTAAACAAAAACTTTTACCCCAACCTGCCTCCCCTACCCCGTTTTCTCTTGTGAAACATTCAAGATGCAAGTCCATTTGTCATTCCTGGAAAATGAGGACAATCCTTGATATGCAGTCCATGAGATGGCTGGAGGTGAGCAGTCAGCATCCTCAGGACAGTTTAGTGTAGTGGTTAAAGTGCACGGACTCTATAATCTGTGAGAACTGGGTTTGATTCCCCCACTCCTCCACATGCAGCTGCTGGTGTGACCTTGGGTCAGTCACGGCTCTCTCAGAGCTGTTCTTGAAAGAGCTCTCTGAGCCCCACCTACCTCACAGGGTGTCTGTTGTGGGGAGGGAAAGGGAAAGGCGATTGAAAGCTGCTCGGAGACTCCTTCAGGTGGTGAAGGGCAGGGTATAAATCCAATCTCTTCTTCTTTCCTCAGAATGTTGCCTCTTCCAAGATTATCCACAAGAGGTTCAAGAGAAAACCTCTACATATCCTGGGCTAAACCAGTTCTGGCCAGTTTTTGCCAGAATATACAGCACCCTAGAGATTTTCACCTTGCTTGCTGTGTATAATCTTGTTCAGACAGCAGGATTCTTCAGAAATACCGGGCGGCATCTCTGCTCACTCCCCTCTGAAAAGACTCTAGCCAGGAGCTAAAACTGTCACATTCAATTTCAGGCCTTTTCCTTTTAAAAAAGAAAAGTGCTCCACAGTCCTCTTGCGCACAGCCAGTATGACACGATAAAACCAGAGATTTCGCAGCGTGCCAACTGAAGCTCTAAGTATTTAAAGAGAAGTTGGCTATGGACGCAAGTATTAACACACTGGAGTTTTTTGCAGCGTATAAACATTATTCCATGGGAAAACCAGCTTCTCCTCCGAAGATGACAGGATCGTTACCGCTTAAGGCAATCCTGGGCAGCATGGTTTATGCTGCACATACACTGACTCACTGCTGGCTCTTTGGCACCATTTCAATGTTCATTTAAGCAAAAGGAGTATGTAGCCTCAAGGATTTTGTGTACTTGAGCTAGTGCTAGCTTATTCAAGTGCTATATTAAAACCTCACAGGGAGGTTTTGTGCATTTACAACAAAGCATTTTCCAAAAAATGACTCTGGATGAGTCCTTCTGCACTTTTGCAGACTGCTTACTGCCCTAGCTGGACAATCATTTCAGGACCTCCGAAGCAGCAGAAAGCACCCACGCTCTTGCTGTACACATGCTCCTGGGACACTGGGACAAAAGAAAAAACAGAACAGGGGGGGGGGGAGGCTTCATCTACAATTCAACTTTTGTCCAAAATAGTTTTCGAAAGCAGAGTCCAAGGTTACACAGCATGACTCACTAGGAGACTGCCAGCCAGCCAGCCTCTCTCGGCATCAAAAACAAATAAATCACAGTTTAACTCTTAAAAGTACTATGGGGTTTCCAAAGGATATTCCAGATTTTGTTAGTTTATTCCACATTCTTCACTATAACACCCCCAAGTGGCTAGAGGATTCCCAGCAGCTTACACACAACACAGAAAAGCAAATACTCATTGTGTGTGCACTGCAAAAATAGCCTCATGGATGAAAGGGACACAGTTGTCTACAAACATGCAGTACACCACACGTTCAGGGGCTGTGACAGGCCAAGGTCCCTAGATTTGCATTTGCTGATCTTCACTTGTTATATTATCTACGACTGTTTGCCGTATGCTTGAGGGGGAGAGAGGAAACACATATTCTTTACTATCAGGTATGACCCACAGTCTCCTGAAAAGGTGTGCTTTAAGCAAACAGCTAAGTGATTCTGCAAGAAAATGCATTCATAACAGCCAGCTGCAGGAAGTGAAACTCAAGGATGACAGAACAAGGTTCTGCAGAGTTTATATCTCCCTTCATCTTCTAGAATGCTGGGCCTTCAACAGAATTTGCATACAAACCCCCTTAAGATAACCAGCAGGGGCACCACAACACTGACCTATTACTCTCACCTGTCACCATGCTGTGCATACTCTTCTCTTACAATGGTGTCAATCATTTAACATGCTTCTTGGCCATAACCAACACAGGATCACAGTATAAAATTCTCACAATTCCAAAGAGGGAAGAGATCCAACATTCCAAGTTTTTATTGGGTTGAATAAATAGCATAAAATTCCGAGTTTTGCCTTTGAACAGCAAAAACAGCTATGCCACTTCGAAACGGTAAATTATTAGACCACAAGATTCCATGGGGGGAAGGAACCTTTAATACAATATCTCTGCTCAGACAGGATTTTCAGGGTATAGCTTAATGACTATTTAGGCTGACCACATTCCCAGCAACAAAAACAGATCTACGGAAGGGGTCGCCGAACCAGTCTCCCAGACCGATTGCCGCTACTAACTCTACAAACTAGCATAATAAGGCCACTTAGGATTGTGAAAGTGCATTTCGGCTCCAACAAAAAGGATAACCCTTAAAGGGCTCCACTAAGCTACAGATTCAGGACACTCAAGTGACGAAGACCACGCTCCCGTTATAAGCGACAAAACAGTGACTTTGCCATCAGCAATAAATGTCACAGTATACCAGTATAGTTCAAGTGAAAAAGATATGAGATGGAAATTCAGGGGTGATCTTACTTTTTAGTGTACTGTCCATCTCCACACTCCACGGCAACAGCCAGGAGCTTTGCTACCCTCTAAAAAATCCTGCAGGTGCTTGCTCTGTTCTGAGTTAGCCAGGTGCACACAGGAACGTTCTGCATGTTCCATGTTCTGCAAATCTGTTATCAGCTGCAGCTACAAGCCAGCTAGCTATAAGTGGTCAGCCAGCATGTGTAAAACCAGATGTAAAGCAGGGCAGGGTTTCTGCACTAACAGTTGTGTAGGACACCATGTTTTGGCAGGTACAAGATTTCACGCTAAAATTTCTTTGTTCTGTGCAACTATGAGAGTGCTGGAGAGATCTTCCCTTATACCTGGAGCACACTGTTTAAGGCAGTTTTCCAATGGCTCTTACATCCCTACCAGTTTCGTGAACTAAACCCACATCTTACATGGACCCTGAAATCCCCCCATGTGCTAGGTCATTGGTAGTTAACACCATGTGTAATCACAGAACTATCCAGAGCATCTCAGCCTAAAGAACAGAAGCATTTCTTCTAGCCCCAATTTTTGCTGAGATTCAGCCATTTCCCATAAGCACCTTTCTCTTTATTGCCCCCCCAAATAAAATCCAACAGCACTTTATACCTTTGTTGGGAGTATAAGCACCTAGGCACAGCGGTCAAAACATCAGTTCTGTCTTACATCAATGTATAAAGAGACCTTTCACTCAAGGCACAATATTCAAGTTGGAAGACAGGAAGAAAAGGGGCAGGTTGTTGTGTTGTTGTTTTTTTAAGTATGTCCTGAACAGCTGTTTTATTTCCCCAGTTCACTGTAGTGCTGTATTCTTCTAGACCCATTAAAGGACATTTCACAGATGAGAAACTGAAGAGAGGTCAGTCTTTAGCCGACTTCCAAGCAACGGTGATAGGACACTGGAAATACCAGTTCACTTCCTTCCCTCTCTCCGAACATACGTAAAGTGCATTCCAGGAAACGCGGACCCAAGCCTTGCACAGCAAGAGTCTACAGATCCACTGTTCGATTCACATCAGAATGGATCCAAGCAACAAACCTGCCCGCCTGTCAGAGAGTGCCAACGTTTTGGAAATGCTGTTTAACTGGGGGGGGGGGGCACCCCTCTGTTCCCACCGGCTCTGGGTCAAGCCACGATGAGCTTCTCACATTCACAGAGCGAGGCGATACCACGTAAGGTGCAAAGGCACAGCTGGCAACTCGAGGCCCTCCAAGGCGCTGGAACAGGAAAGGCACGTCGGGCGGCCAGGCGCTGGTTACCCCACTCGGTTCCGCAAGGGGCTCGGCGTCCCCCCAACTCCAAGCTGGGCCCGGTGGAGGCCGGTGGGCCTCAAGGCAGGGGCGAGGCGGCCTTCTCGGGCTGGGAGCCGCGCATGGTGTAGTTGGCGCCTCCGTTGTTGTCCCAGTACTCGCCCTGCTGGCTGCGGTAGCAAATGGCGAAATGCACGGCCGTGCCCTCCGGCAGGCCCGGCGGGAGGCACAAGGCGAACTGGTAGCGCTCGACCGGGCCGGAGAGGGCCGAAGGCGCGGGCTCCCCGACGGGGGGCGGCGGCGGCAGGGGCAGGGCGGAGGCGTCGAGGAAGGAGAGCCACTCGTTGAAAGTGTAGCGGACCGTCACCTCCTTGGCGCCGGGGCAGGCCAGCACCCGCACCACGCCGCGCACGTCCGTGGGCGCCCCGGCCAGCGCCGTCCCCGCCGCCTCCTCCAGAGCCAGGGCGGCGCTGAACTCCTCCAGGTCCCGCTGGCGCATGGGGAAGCTCTGCAGGCGGGAGAGGACGGCCGGCGGCACCTGCGGCTCCTCGGCCGCGCTGAAGTGCTTCACGCTGGCCAGGCACAGCCCCAGCGCGTCGGCGAACTGCACCCGCTTCTTGCACTTGGTGCAGCAGCCGCTCGCCGGCCCTTCGCCCCCCTCAGCCTCGCCTCGACGGCCCGGCGGCGGGAAGAGGCGCGCGGCGGCCAGCGTCGGGCTGGCGGGCAGCGAGAGGGAGCGCCCGTGGCGGCGGCGCAGCGCCAGCAGCGCCTCCTCGTCGGCATCGTCGTCGTCGTCCTCCTCCTCCTCCGCGGCGGCCTCGCTCGCCTCCTTCCTCGGCCGCAAAAGCGCCTCCTCTGGCGGCGAGCTCCGGCTGCTGCTGCTGCTCGGCCAGCGCGGGAGAGAGGCGGCCTCTTCTTGCAGCTGCCGCTCCCCGAAAGGAGCTAGAAGTTGCCCGAAGCCCAGCACGGCCGAGCCCTGGCCCTCCATCGCATGACGCCGCCGCGGCTCAGAGGCCAGGCAGAGCCCCGCAAAGCCACTTTATCTCCCGGTGCGGTAGCTGGCAAAGTCCCGTTGCGCAGTGGGGGGGTGCCCCCTTTCCCTGCCTCCACCACACTCCCCCCTCCCCCCTGGGAGAGAGTGGACGGGGCAGGACCTCCCACAGGAACCCGAAAGAAAAAAGAGACATTCGCCGCAGGCGCCGAGGCACGTAGCCGCTTCCCGCGCGGACGGGGGCGCGCGCACCCGCCCCTTCTGGGTCCCCGCCCCACGCCTGAGTGGAAGCGGGCGAGGAGACGCGCCTCGCCCCCTTCGGAGCCGCCCGGGAGCCCCAGGAGCAGCAGAGGTTTCCCCCCGGCCTCAGACTGGCCTTTGCCACGCCTACCAAGACCTGTCCCGCCGCCCCCCGTGGCAAGTAGGGTGGGTACAGTTTGGGGCAGCAGAGGGGGAAGAAATGATTTGCAAGGAGAAGCCCAGGTCGCCATAGAAGTGCCTTCTCCACTGATACATTGTCAGCCTCCCCAACTTTCCTACATCCATCTTGTTGTGTTCTGAAGCCTGTACCACTAGGATGTAACTTGCCATCCTCTAGGTGGTGGCTAGAGATCTCCTGGGATGACAACTGGTCTTCAGGGTTGTCACCCCCTCCATGGGGCCGGGGGTTCCCAGTGGTGGGTCTCCCAATCCACCCCCCAGCCAGCTGGCCAGCAGAAGGGGGGGGGATGCCCCATCCTCAAAGAGTTCCATGGCTCCCACTTGCCCAGGGTGATGATGGCACCCAAACTGTGACATCATTGTGTTGTGCTGGGCATGTCCCAGGGGGACGCTCTAGCATTTAGCCAAAAACTCTGTGGTGACCATAGATGTTTTGGCTGAATGCTAGAGTGCCCCCCACAATGTGCCTAGTGCAATGATGTTACTTCTGGGTGATGTCATCATGGCACAGGCGGGAACATCCAGGAGAGGAGCCTAGAGCCCCCCACTGGGAAGAGGTCTCCAGGCAACAGAGATCAGTTCACCTGGAGAAAATGACCACTTTGGAAGGTGGACTCTATGGGCATTAGACGCCATTAAAGTCCCTCTCGTCCACAAACCCTGCCCTCTGCAGGGTCCACCCCAAAAATCTCCAGGTATTTCCCAACTCAGAGCTGGCAACCCTGTGTTAGATGCACTGTAGCAACATCTTAAAGTATTGGGGTGTGGGCTCTATCCAGACAGCACTGGACATTGTGGTATTGTGGTTATAGCGCTGGCTCTAGTTGCGCTGTAGCAGTCATTCAGTTACAAATTATTGTAATGATACATTCCCAAGGATTTAAGCTCATCAAAGTCCACTGGGAATTATGCCTGAGAAGACCTATTTAGGTGTGAGCATTACATCAAAGTATTCATTAGACAGCTGGCACCCTGCACAAGCCCTAGGTATAGAAATTGAGACTGGAATTATTAATCTGTGCCAGAATTCAAACAAAGCAATTAATAATGCAATCCTAAACTGAGTTAAAAGGTAAAGGTTTCCCTTGCTCGAAAGCCAGTTGAATCAGACTCTAGGGATCTCTGTTTCCAAGCAGAAGACCCAGCGCTGTCCAAAGACATTTCCGTGGTCACGGGGCCGGCATGACTAGACGCCAAGGCGCAAGGAAACCTGCTGATTTTAACTGACTTGGAAGAGTATAACTCTGCTTATGTTTACATAGCAAATGTCTTGTGGCTCAGCATGAGCATTTATCCAACCATTAGTAAAGTGAAGACAAACTTTTTTCCCTCCACACATGCCTGTATATATTTTTCAACAAGTATGGTGATTCCGATACCGTTGCACAATTATTACTGGTAGTAATTTGCAACACACTGCTTACTCCTTTCTAACTTCCTGAAAAGAACTATCGAGTTAGGTAAGAGATGAAGAGCTGGTTTCTATACCCCACTTTTCTTTACCCTAAGGAGTATCAAAGTGGCTTACCAATCGCCTTTCCCTTCCTCTCCCCTTGTCAGGTAGGTGGGGCTGAAAGAGTTCTGAGAGAACTGAGACCGGCCCAAGGTCACCCAGCAGGCTTCATGTGGAGGGGTGGGGAATCAACCACCCCTTCTCCAGATGAGAGTCCGCTGCTCTTAACCACTGCACCCATCAAACTTAAGCCAAGCAACTTGGATTATAATTATTTTATAGCCTGAGTCTTAAGCAGGCGAAAGACTAAGCTACCAGCTAGCTTGCATGAACAGAAGTAGGAGGGCTACTTTAGCTGGAACTACTTTAGCTAGAGCACAGGATGAGAAATGCCAGCAGACTCCCAACTGCTTTAGCTTAACTACTCGGATGCACCGCAGCCTTAGCCTGCTTTTAGTCATTCCACTTTATTTTCTGAGAAATGCTGCTGACTTTAATAGAACTTACCCAGATGTTTTGCACCAGTATAAATGAGAGCAAGTACTGCTTAGAGACTTTTAATTAAATCATAAACTGCAGAATCCTTTGGCAACTAAATTGCCAGTGTGAACACTGAAATTTTGAGTATTGCTTTAAGCAGCTTGCAGGCAGAAATTGGATAATTTGTTTTAAGTCACCTGGGACTCTCTCATGCTACAGATTGCTGTACTCAATCAAAACCAAATAGAATAAAAGTCAGAGTCCCCCCCTTTTTTTTTTAGTTTTTTCCAGAAAATTGCAGTCAATGTATAGTTTTCTTTCAGAACAGCTGATTTGGGAGGATCCACTGACCAAGAAAAAATTCAGGTTCCATAGTTCTGTTGATTACTGTCCAACTACTAAAAATATGCATACCATTCACGTGCAGGAAAGAAAACCTATTTGATGTTGCCATGCCACCTTTATATTGTATTATAACTTTGTGTGCATGCAGTAATCCATCAGTAGATAAGGAAGAAAGGAACAAGAACAAATACAGGTAAGAAAGACATTATGTCTACTCAAAGGGAAATATAATAGAAGCAGATGATATTACAAGTAGGATCCATGTGGGGAAAGAAACCACAGGCCAGCCCTCAGTGGTCCCTGACTGTCTTCTTGCCACTGCTTTCCCCACCTGTGTTCTCTCCCCCACTTGTTCATTTTTCCCTCCTGTCCTATCCTGACTCTCTTCCCACCCCTTCACAGCCCTCTGTCCTTCTTCACTAGAGCCCCTGCATCCTTTTCCACTCCCTTTTCTATCTATCATCTTGCAAACCTGGAGTTATCCATATTTATCCAGAGTGGGAACCACTCATGGGGATTAGATATACGACAGTGAGGGAATCTCATTTCTCCCTTCCCCACAATTTCTTCTTTTCCTTCCCTGGCTGCCCCAGAGCCTCTCCTGTTTTCCTGCTTCCTTCTCTCCTTCCCACCCACCAGCTAGTCTACCTAATTTATGTTAGGAGGCAGTGAGTTCAGGGCCAGGACTTCAAAGGTAGCATTCTCTGAAGTGCTGCCGGTTCCACAGGCAGGGCCGGCCTGAGGGTTTTTTGTGCCCTTGGCGGGGCTACCTTCTGGCACCACCACCCCCCCGTGCACCCACCAATTATGGGGTTGCCAACCTCCAGGCAGGGCCTGGAGAGAAGGAAGTCAAGCTGCTGAGCACGCGCCACACACACACAGAGTTCATTTCAGAGTCAGCCATCCTGTGCCTCCCCCCCCCCGCATTGCCCCGGGCCGGTGTGGGGCCGGGCTCTTTTGCGGGGGGGGGCAGT